TGCCCCGCAAGGAAGTCATGGTGCAATCAAGTGCACGCAAGCTACTGGGAAGGCAGTAGCTGCCGAATTTGTGCAGCATTAGTACTGAGATGTACTGATTGATATTGGTTAAAGGAGATGAGCCACACCAGCAAGACCATCGTTACATAGAAGAGTTGGCACTCAGCCTCTTCCAAGGCACAGCGGCAGCGCGCCATTTTCAAGCCGCGGGCGCTGATACGCAGCTGGATACGTACAGTGTTGCACACTCCGTGCAAAGCATACCACAGAAAATCCGGGGTAACATCTACTTACCTAGTGCGTGAAGTTATCTACTCACCCTTGTCCTTGCGGGAAACAGGGAACCACATGGTATCCGCGACTTCCTGCCTGCTGGGGTCATGCTTCGCAGGCATCTGCACCTGGCATTTCTACAAACATTTCAGTCATTTTCAGCCTGAGGCTCTTCAGACAGGGAGATACAGTACGTAATACAAAGAAAAGAGGACGAAAGCCAGAATTAGAGCCCTCAAATCTGATGTCCCACCTGCAGGCTGTTGCCCGTGCTCATGAGCCAGTCTTGGAGCCCCTCATCAATCTTCACCTTCCTTACAGTGTTCAGCTCCAGCTTATAGAATCTATAGTTCACAATGGGACGGCATACTTTAAGTAGGGCCGGAAGGCGTCAACTCAACTTGTGGAGCAGAGGCCGCCAAAATCAAGTATCAAGAATGTTACTCAACCTGCTCAGCTTCCCCATGGCTTGACGCTTGACCTCCGAGGATGGCACGATGACCTCCGTTTGAGTTTAGGGCATGTGCTGTGCCTGGCGGGCCTTATCTACCTAGCTAAGATTGGCTAAGCAAATTGTCATGGAGGAGGTCAAATGTCAAGTTTTGAGAAATCGCCACCTTCTTCCCGAGGTACTTCACTTCCACATGGCCAGCAGGGACTGAAAACAACCACCCTCCAGCCACACGCATGATCTTGACCACGGCCCCGTGGGGAATGTCCTTATTACTCCCCGTGTAGATGAGCCGCTCTCCCTCGTAGTACACATCAGGAGCACAGCGGCCGTGGTATCGCACAGCATTTGGCTTGGCATGACCCAACTCGGAGGGGCTGCCCGTCTTGAGAAGCACCAGCGGGTCTCCGTTGATGGCTTGATGGAAATCAACCTTCAGTTTTCTAATCATTGCCCAAGCCTTCGATTTTTCAAAGTCCTCTTCGCTATGCAACTTCTCTGTCTCATTAGCGGCATCAATGGCATCAGCGACTTCTTGGCGCAAAGGTTCAACCTCTTGCACCTGCGGAGTATCCGATACTCCAGATTCAGAATGGGGTCAGGAACCCTTTTTCGGGCGGCTCCCGCCTGCTCGGCTAGTGACAATCCGACGGACTGAAATTGGGTGGGGATCATGGGAGCGGCCCCCACATCAGCAGCCGGGCAGCTCCTAGGATACTGAAGCTCTCGCAAAAAGGAACTTGTTGAGACTGTCCAGTCTAGGATTTACCACTGTCAGCACGCTTATAGCCGAGCACATTGTACTACCTAACTTCTCTCAAATGGCAGAGCTCCAGGTACATTTATGCAGGCCCGTCGGGTCAAGCTCGTACTTGAGGTCGCCAGCACAAAGCACCTGTCAGACCACGGCAGACCCGGCAGTGCCTAGCGCTGGCTACTCCCAAGTGTGGTATCCTCAACATTCCGGATCCACCTCTATGAGCACGGAGCATGTAGCTTTTGCTTGCTATAGCACATGTCTACCAAAGTAGAATTCACAGAAGCCTTCTCACAGGCCCCAATGTTCAGTGCGCTGAGGCCCTCCGCAGCAATTGCGGCGCCGTGATTGGCCACCGCTGTGGCAGCAAAGAGCTTGATGAATTTGGCCAAGGCCTGCAAGAACACGACAAGTTAGATCACTTCAAATCACCACAGTGCATTCGGAGACCGTGCACAACATCATCTTCACAATAGGTGATGGGTCCGGCCTTGGCATCCTGAGATTTCATCTTGTGCTCGGCTTCCGTCGCATTTATGTGGGCCTGCACTTGCAACGAACTGCCAAGCAAGCAAGGTAGGTTGCATTTCCGACCTTCAGCCATATTGGCAGCTCAGCATCTCTCAATATCATCAAGACACTCCAAACAATGAAACGGTATGTGTCCTTTTCCAGAAGTTCAGGCGCCGCTGCTTTCACCTCTTCCATGCACTTCTCCAGAGACAAACGCTCAGGCTCTGAAAATTTCTTCTCAAAGAGCCAAAATCCCAGACGCTCCTGGCTTCAGGGCTCCGAGAGATTGCAATGTATGGGTCATGTTTTTCATTCTACTGCAAATGAGATTGGGTATGTTTGGGATTTGGGTAGCTATGCGCCAGCTGACTCCTCTGTTGAGGTTGCTCAAAAACAAGGCTAGCCTTAGAGATCCTTAGAGACCCTGAGGCCGTGAAGTTTTACGGAGATCAGAAGCACAGTCCTGTGCAGTCCACTCCTCACTGCCTAGGTTGCAATTGTACGCCTGATGAAAGCCAGTAGGAACTCAAAATGTCTTCTTCTGGTTTCCTACCAGTAAACCATGAAAAAGCATGCCCCGAAAAAGCTTATAGACTGGAGCTTGGCAGCTCATGACTCGGCGAAGAGCAATGCTGAGGTCTTCCGAAGTCAGGCTGGCAATGCGCTCCAACAGACTTTGCTTTGGCTTGTCGTCTTCCATCGCTTCCTGCTGCGGCGCCTCTGCCAAGGAATACTGGCGTCGGTGGCGGCGGTCGTAAGAGAGATCCATGCAGCAGTCCATACAGGCGGTACCTGTATGACAGCATAGGATGCAGCAAAAGCAGCACATCTCCCACTCGTCCCTCGTCTCCAGCCCAGTGAATTCCTCAAGGGTCGAATCCAGAAGCTCCCGGGTACCAGCCCCGAATGCTGCATCGAGATTCAGTTGGCTGAAGATCTTCCCGACTGACGCTGTGGTCTCTGTCATCACATCCTGGTACATGAAGCGCGGCATCTTGAATCTAGCAAAAAACAAAAATATGGAGAGAGATACCGATAGTAGCTGGATCTCGTGAATCCTTGAGCCGGCATTGCCAGGCCGCCGCCAGCAGAGCAAATTGCATTTTCAGATGTTTAAACGGTCTCAGCATTCAGAGGTTCGGTTGGCCGAAAGAAATAAACACTCTTAGCGGACACCATTTGACTGTGCAACCTGGGCTCCGTGCCTTCGGTTCATCAACCTGCCGCTCGCCTGAATAGTTCGACATCAGCTACTACGAGAAACTACAGTAGCAGTACCCGGTGCGGTTGTTAAGCACTTGCATTCATTCGCCTGTGCTGGCACGGCTCGACGCTGCTGTGGCAGAAGCTACCGCGAGAGGCTGATCAAGAACGATGTCAACCTGCATCGCTGCATTTGGCTTGTGTGCCTAGCATAGTGTACTGGCTCATGAGTTCTGACTTCAAGGATCTCCAAGGAGCAGAAGCATGAGGTAAACACTGCAACTGGGACAGGATCTGGTCGCGCTGCGAAAAGTCTTTACTCAGTCAGTGGTTGACCGTTCAATGAATGAGACGACTCTTCTCTCTGTACTGTTCACCAGCCTGCGGAGGATTGTTGATCATCACCTTGGGAGCGCCTGTATGCGACATGCACGTTCGCATGCACCGCCAGCGTCAGATCTCTCAACCAACCGGCCTTTGTAGACTTCTTCAAAGAAGCCACTTCGCTCACCAAGGAGAAGATAATCAATTTCCACCTGCGCCGTGCTGCACATTGAAGTCTCAATATTGAGCATTGGCTTTGCCACCGCTTGCGCGGCACTCTCAACCCGCGCAAACAGTCACAGAGCTTCGCTGCTGAATGTACTTTTTCCGGATTCCAGCTGACGCCGCTCCATGCTGCTGCACCTTAGTTGCTTAGCTGCAAGCGACTCCGCATGACAAGCAGTCCTGAGGTCCTGAGGCTTTTACCCTGCCGGAGGGTGGGTTCGGCTGCTTTGCCTGCATGCCACTCTGCATGCTGTGACAGTCATAAAGCTACATGAAGTAAGTGGTTCAGCACACGAAGTCCCTTGCAAATCAAGGTTCAGAGATAATGTTTTGAGGTTGGCCACTCCAGTCTTGGCAAGCACCACATAGAAATCGTTGTAACAGACAAGAGCCAGGGAAACATGCTCGATATGTGCATTGTTGTGCATTGTCGTGCATCTCTAGCTGAAGTCTTAACTGAGCACCTTTGACATTACAAGCGAAGCGAGCGACCGACGCGGAGAGTTAGCTTCAAGCATCCCTTGCGACTCCAAGGTGTGTGGGCGAAATTTTCTGGCCGGCATGTATGCCCAAAAGGAATCACAAATACAGGTGGACTGCCACACCGCTGCGCTAACATGTCAGGCTTCAGCTCAATTTCGGAAATGGGACCAAGCCTGCACTTGGGGGAGAGGGATTGGGACGCAAAGCTAGAGCAGGATCTAACTGGCAGAATGCAGAAGCGCGCTCTCTCAGGACTCAGGAAGGCTACAGGGCAAAACTCGTGATTGACACCAACATGTGTGGCACTCAATGAACATGCATCGTAAGAGTAGGCATATGTAGCATTGCATGCATATGAAATTACCTGCACTCTATGATCTAGTGTTGTCCAATAGTCCACTATGCTCTGGTGACTCTGGTAGATACAGTAGGTACTGATGCTCAAACACGAAGGGGCTTGGACGAAGGCCAGCTTGAACGAATCTTGTCCAGGGTTCATGCGATGGGTCGACCATGTATTCTTGTGCCTGTGAGGTACTTGTGACGTGTTCTTTCACACCAATGATCCATTCTTTTGAACAAAAGGATAACGGTCTTTAAACCTTCCCTGCCGTCTGGCTACCAAGCCCGGATTTTCGACCACGCACCAGGGGGTCCCCCCCCCCCCTCACGGTCCTTCTTGCAAGCTCGCATGATAAGAAACGAGATCCAGGGGCTAGCTTTCGTGATGTGGACTAGTCTGACTAGAAAACATTGGCTGCTAGGAGCTGCTGGACTACAAGCAGCATGGCCAAGCCTTCTTCAGGTCGTGTAGCGACTTCACCAAGAAGCTAGCAGCTCCTTAGTTGAGTCCATCAGCCAGGTTAAGCAGCTGACGCATAAGTGAAGATCTCCTCAACTGAGCCCGGCTCTGGCAGATGGGGCTAGATAACCGCGTTTCTTTCTTTCATCCAGCACTGCAGCTGGAGTTAACTCCATCATGCGTGTCGTTACATCGGGTGCCTTAGCAGTGGTCGGCCCTCGCACACTATGCGATAATAACAAAAAAACTAATAATAATAATCATAATATAGTAGTAATACTGCATGGAACGCACAACCAATAGTGCAATTCCGAGGAGACAGCTCCTCCGCTTGGGTTGTAGGAACCCACTTTGCCTGCGTGAGTGGTCGCCGGAAAGAATCTTTCTTTGCATGCAGTGGCCGCAGTGGCTCGTGGCTTTCCAACGCAAGTCTGGGCCTAGATCTTTGACATATAAAACGTTCTGAGAAGCGGCAAAGGTATTTGGTGGTCTCCAAGGTGGCTAGGCCTCTTCAGATCCCGCTCAGCACGGTTGCAGAACGATGCAAGAGGATCCTCAGCTCTTTCTTCCACTGCCCTGGGTACATCTGACGTAGCAACTACTTACCCTGGCTTCGTCCTGCTTGTTGCTGATCTGCTCATTAAATGCATATAAGGACACCAGCACCCACAAGGAAAAAAGTACGTCGTGGCTAAACCATCTTGCAAGCAAACCTCAGACATGCCTTAATTCCATCTCACCCGGCTGAGCTCGTCACCATTAGGTTTGGCCAATGCTTTTTTGCAGCCTGCCATACGCCCCCACCGAACAGCAAGCAGCACATAGCAGAACCAAATCCAAACAGGCTCTCAGCCATTCTAGCTACATCCAGGCCTGGCAGCCCAAATATGCAAAGGCCGGCTCGTACGGCTGCCCATCATCCTGAAGACAAACAGAAAGTGAGCAACAGTTTGAATCTTTACAGGCACCGCTGTCAACGTCAACATGATGGAAAAGGGCTTTGGCCCGGCTCTCCATGCAGAATTGCCCACAAGCCTTGACGAAACGGATAAGATTGCCGTCGTCAATCAGCTGCTCGCTGCAGCATATGGAATCCTTGCAAAGAGAAAATCAGAGCCATGGCGCACACAGGTGCAGTCGGTACAGTGGAAAAGCCTCCAAAGCCAAGGCAATGTGCCAAAGCCCTGGAGGTCCGTAGACCAGCTCCCCCGCCTGGAAGCTTCCAAAGCTTCAGTGCTCGGCTCGGCTGTGCTCAGCTGCCACTGGATCAAATTGCAAAAGATATGATATGAAATGGAAACTGGGATGGTACCACCCCGTGCCACCCATCCTCCACAATGACCTCCGCGTAGCCAAAGTCGAGCTTGGCCTGCCGCTGCAACTGTGACAGGCACGCATAACAGGTTTGCATCATCAGGCACTCCGGGCGCCTGTTGCAGAAGTGGCATCAACTTGCCAAACCAGCTGATGGCAGGAATTCTCTGCAGAAGCCTCAGTTCTCAGTTGAGTATGTGCTTGTCATGAATTACAAGTTTGGCCGCGTAAGCCTTGGTTCATCGACGTGCTGGATCCTTTGATGGCTGCACTGGTTTGTCGTTTGGTGTTGCTACTGCCAAGCTCAGAAACCCACCCGTCTTCTCAAGCAGCTCATACAGGTTTTCAAAAGATTAAGGTGTGTCTCCAACCACAGCGGGCTGCTTCGTTCAAACTGCTGCGGTATGCTGTGGTGCAGTTGCGCCTGTCAAAGTTTGCATTGATGCTAAGACAAGCCACCTCAAATTCAAGAGGTCTAGAACTGGGAGTATGGTTGGACCTATGAATACATGCAAAGCCCGCAGACAAAAAGAGACAATTTGTTGAGGCTGCTGCTTCTTCACATGTTTGGTCGTCGTCTGGCGGCTAACGTTCCCGGGAGGCAAGGTCAGGGAACCAAGCTCCTGCCAATTCCGATTAGGTCGGCGCCTTGCTGAAGGTTGATGGCAGCTTGCCTGTGCGAGACCTGCATTGATGAGAGCTTTGGCCAGCACATCCAGCTCCTCAATTGCAGTCTGAAAGCTGTCACGCATCTCCTCTGACTAAGACCAAATCCTCCCGGTCCTCTGGCGTCAGGAACATCCAGCGCTTGCGACCATGGACCAGGGCGTTCCAGTAGGCGGTTGAATCTGCAAGCAGAATATGACAAATGGACCGTAGGCAAGCACTTTGCGGGCAGCCGGCCTGGATCCATGTGCAGCATACCACCTGCCCCTGCAGGGCCGGCGATGATGAAGCCTTGCACAGACTCCGCGTAATCCTCATCATCCAGGAAACCTGCCTTGGATCGGCAAACCAAGTCTCATCTCAAAATCTTGATGCGCTCGAGTTGAGTGGTTGCTCCGCAAGCTGTACAACTGAGCACACAGCTTGGATGGCAAGCTTCTTGCTCTCTGACCAGGCCTCCCAGTGCAAAGTGTACAGGCATGGCTGATGAGACTTGAGCCGACCTGGTTGAGCCTCGGCAGATAGTTTCCTTATCATGCGGCGGAGTGCAGTCCCCATCTTGCAGTTTAGGCATGGTGTTGAGGCGAAATTGGAGGGCGCAGCAAATCAATCCAAACGGGTGGGTTTGCATGGCAAGCTGGGACAGCTCAGTCCAAGTGACGAGAGTGGAGGCTGGAGCCATGTCATGAGCACAGCCACATTACTGCTGAAGTCGGGATGATACTACTACCTACTCTTCTTGCTAGCGTCCTAAAACAAAATGCTGCAGCCAAGGGTCTGCCCAGGAGCTTGTCAGGGCCATCTGCTTGCTGGGTGACGGACCTCCGTGTTCCCACATGCTCCTCCACTATGGATTGAGGTCTGGTTCCCACGCCTAACAACTCATCTTCCAAGAACGGTGGATGCATATCAGTCGCAAATTGTAGTTATGGATTGGATAGGCACAGAATCCAGGCCCAGAGTCCAATTACACATGTTCCGGCGCCGCATTCCCCTGAAACCAGCCCAGCCCTTTGTTGCAAACAGGCTGCGCAAAAGGGCAGTCGTCGGAGAAAGGCTGCTGCAAAATGATGTTTTCCAGGAAGAGATTCTCATTCTGGCAGGCATGGGCAGGCACAGCACACCTACTCCGACTGCTGGGTTGCCTGGGCGTGAGTGGAGAAATACTGTTGCAGATGTTTCTCCAGGCGAAAGCGCTTGTACTTGCCTCCGAACCAAGCACGGGACCGACCCTCCCTGACTACACCCCAAGGCTACCCAGGGTTCAAGACCGAGCCTGCAGGATCTGCCAGCTGCTCCCAGGTCCACTCTCGGGTGGCGGGCCAATGCTTGACCAAGCCTGTTACCACCACTGCTTCCTTGTGGCGGAACTCGTCTAGACGCAGGGGGAACTCGCCAGCATCAACCTGCATCGGCTAAGTGCTTTATGCCACAAAGGCACGCTGCATTTGGCATTCGCCCTTCGTGCCTTGAGAACTTGTCTTCTTTTCTCGCTCGCACCTGCAATTGATGACTTGCCGCTCTTGGGATTTCATCAGCATCCCGTTGCACCTGGCATTCCGAAGCTAGGACCAAGCTTTCCGGGCTGTCCATCCCTTCCCTTTGTCCACGGAGCAACATCGTGGTGCAGCACGGATGTGTTGTCCGAAGTTGTCGTCAACCTTGCAGCCTCTTCTTGAAAGAGGTACTTCTTCAGTCCATCCAACGGACTTGACCAAGCCACAAAGTCTGAAGCGAAGCCGCTCGAGCCCACTCCTAAAGCGCTGAGAATCACTGCGCACAAGGCAGCGGCATGGCTGCACATGCTTCTCCGTTCCTGACTGGCTGAAATCAGGATTGTTCAGGAGTAGCTGATTAGCTGTCGATGCTCAATGCTTGCACTTTTTCCAGGCGGGTTCTTTCCTGACCCCATCCAAGTGTTTATCTGGCATGAAATCTCATCCGCACACTCGTTGTCCATGTGTCCACGGTCAGGAGTGCGTATCCATGTGCGTCATGCTAATACTAAGCCAAGCTGGCATGCAGGAGCTTGCAACGAGCACAGAGTTACGAGAACTGCCACAACCGTTGCAAGTCATAACTTCAGCGGATGCACTAATGCTGACCAATGCGCACCATATCCAGTTCGCGCGGCTGAGAACTTGGAATACCTGCCCCCAATCATGAGGTCTGCAGGCACAGACAATTTGGAAAGACAAGAAACAAAGCGCACCATTGAAAGGATCGTACCTCTCCTGATTCTGAAGTCCGGTGGCCGCCTGCCAGCAAGCCAGTGACTGGACAAGGTAAATGATGCCCTCGCACGGCAGCCTGGCTAGCAGCGACTGACGAAGCAACTTGCTGAGGGTCAGCTGCAGATGAGGCCTTGCTTGCCTCGTCATCGTGAACATGGCTTGCCATGTGTCACGGAAAGCTGCAAAGACCCCATGCGTGTTCACTTGGGCGCTAGCAGGGGGCGCAGGAGCTACAGGGGCGGCCAGCACAGCCGCCGCTTTGTGCTCCGCAGCAGGTGCCTCGATTGAAAAACTGGCAGCGCAGTTCACACCTTCAGCACCAGGTCAGCCAGCAGCTCAGCAACTTGCCGGCACATCCATCTCGATGTCAACCGTGGTGGCCACCATCTCTCCGGTGGCCGGATCCCATTCCATGACTTGGTGCTTTTGCCGCGGTGCCTGGCACTGTGGAAAAAACATAAGCATTTTCCGTGAAGGCTTGAACGATGATGCTGCCAGATCTGTGAACTCATGCTCAGGAAGAGCACTGACAAGCCTGGGCGGGAGCTGGCTGAGCAAAACCAACACCTGCGGCGCTTGTTTAGCCGCAGCTGCAACTCAGCAGTTTCATACATTTCTTCATGCTCTGGTCGGTATGGTCAATCCATTCGGTCCACCTGCTCTTGTTGGACTTGGAAGGCCCACCTTGCAGCCGCTGGTATCGCGGGTAGCAAGACATCACAGAAATTGGACCTGACTCTGCGCCCCGGCAGCCCCAAACTGGGAAGCTGGAGTGGGGCCTGAGCTCAGGTTTGCAACAGCGCTTCTGGCACATGGGGGGGAACCGTTTCAGTCTGCATTCTGTGCTCGCGGATTGGCTTGGCTGCTGGCATTGTTTGGACATTGCCACAAGTGCACTTCGGGCTTTGGTTTGCGCGGCGGACCACCTTGGGAGCGTTTTCCGCCCTTTTTGAGGTTCATGTCTGAGGATCGCAAGCCTGCAAGCCAGACGCAATGCATAACCCGTGCTAAGATTCGAGCGCGGCAGTTTGGCTTTGAACTGCCTCAAACTCTGAAGCAGGGCTGTGGCGTTGCGCTGCTCATGTGCTTCAGTTCCACCGCAGAGGCGAAGTGTCTTCTGAGCTGTCCCAGCCATTTCACTCGAAAATGCCGGAAACTTTAAACCGACCAGCTACCTGAGCACTAAAGCCTGAGGCTCCAGCCCATGGTGGACCTCCATTGCGAGGCTTGGTGCACAGAGATCACCAGACAGCAGAATCTCAGGACGATGCGTGGACCAGCTGGAGCAGGAGGCGGTGGCCTGGGACAATGGCTCGTAATTTCTCTTCTGCCACACTCTCGTGCGGCGTAGAATCTAAAAGTTTGTAGCAGCAGCTTATACAAGCCAATATCTACGGACCCCGGTGTCCATGAGGGATCCCAAAGCGCCATGGAAACGTGCAAGCATGTTGGATGAAACAATTGAAGCAGCTGCGTGCTGCCGCGCGTGGCAGGCGGAAGGGCCCTTTTGATTTGACCTGATGTGACCCTGTTCAATATCATCAATATCCTTTTGACATCGGACCTGGTCGGATTAGCACACAGGAATTATAGGGGCTTTCCCACTCTGCAACATCGGAGTTAGGCGTGCGGCGGTGGCGGTGGAATGGGTGGATTCAACGCAACCGCTGGCGCCACGGCGCTCAGAGAGCTAGGAGGTGGATTGGACCTCATCCCAACATGCCATGGGCATTTTGAAGCCACTACAAACTATTCTACGTGGGTTGGCCTTTCGAATCAAGGCCGGGGCCACTGCAACGTGTCGACGCTGTACCTTCAGATGGCATTTGAACTGCACATGGGTCATGCGCTTGTCATACCTGCATATCTGAGATGGACGCTTTTCACAAATACTTCTGTACAAGAATTCTTCGTCTCCTCTGTACCTTGGCTCAGCTTACAAGGCTGTGTCGGAAAATGTGCTTTGCTGACTGAGACTGCCACTTCTCTAGGAGGTAGTCAACTTTGTGCACGTTGTCGGGCTTGTGCACCGCATAGATTTCCACGATGCGCCTTCGATACCTTTTTTGAAGATTGAGAACATCAGGATCTTTCCTGTACTGTTGTACTAGCTGGGCGCACTCTGGCAGGGTCATCGTATTGATCATTCCGCTGTGGCTTCCCACTGACATACCTTGCTTCAAAGAATTTTGACAGCCTTCATACCCTTGAGGCTCACGTGACCTGCCACTGCAGCGGGAGCCGGGAAGCTTGCAGGCATGGCCTACACACTAGTTATGGCACAGGATGACGCGTTGTCAGATTTGCGAAGCCATCGGAACCCCTGAAATCTGTCAGTAGGCCTTGGTCAACAAGGCGGGGCCACCAGGGCCCTCCTTAACAGGTAGCGTCATGCTGTGGACTTTGCTTTCGGACACAGGTCAAAGCTTGTCCTGCAAAGGCTGCAGCGATGCCGGACATGGCAGCATTGGGGAAGGCTCAGCAAGTCACAAACACTACCAGCTCTAGGGTTGTGGTATGCTTTAGTGGGCATGCCCCTATCACAAGCGCCTCACTGCGCTTAAGCTCATCAGTGCATGACCTTGAGCACTGAAGCTGTTGCGCTGCGAAATGCTGCCAAATCCGATGTTCGCAATCTAACAGACACATTTTTCCCTGAGGGGCCAATTGCGAAAATCGCTGCGAGGAAAAAGCGCGTTGGAAAGGTCGAGATCAAAAAAAATACATGATTTCAAGTAGATATTAGCACCCGAAATCCGAGCCCCAGGACAATGTACCAACTACGGAAGTTGTTAACCTGGACTGATGAAGTCGCAGACACTACGCGCCCTCTGTCTTTCGTTTTGACATGCCCGTCTAACTTGCTCAGCTCAAGATGCAATGCCTCCTTTTTGCAACCGGCCTCTGCTTCACCTCACGACGAAGCTTGCGGCACCTCCAGGCTTACGAATTCCTATCCAAGCTCCTTTGGGCCAGGAATCAAGTATTCTTGGCCAGCTCAGGCACGCATGCTTGTCACCTCACAGATTTTGATCACGAGCCGCGGGATGTGGCCAATGCTTACTGAAGCCAGCCTCTCCTTCTCAGCACGTCTGCTGGAGGAACGCGTGCCCTGATCCCTTGCACGCCCAAGTTAGGGAGAATGCGTATGGCGCATGATCATGCGCTTCAACTCTGGCACGCCTTGCTCCTTCTATGCGTTCATCAATGGCATCCTTCAACAAAGCATTTTCCTGTCCGACACAGTCGTTCAAGCACAGATGAATACAAGTCTGTAAGTGTGTTGAGCGTCTGAGCACATGATAGCAAAAGCCCCAGAATCTGCACGCATTCGTACCGGCCTCTCGCAGAAGACTATTCTCCTCAACACGCGTGCAGCAGCACAGCATAGCACAGCCTTCCTCTTTGCCTGCAGGCGTTTCCGCAAGGTTCAAGTATTCATCTGAGGATGAGACTTCGCCAACAGCATCCAAACGCTTGGTCAAGTCCGCAAGGCCCTTCTGGATGTCCAGGACCTCATTAAAATCAGGTCTCTATAGCCTTCCTGATGCAACTACGAAATTCTCTGGGGTGCGAACCGCGGCGCAGAGGTCAGTGCGCGTCAGCTCCTCCGTCAAAAATTTTCATGTGCCTGCTGAAACATGCCCACAGATATAGCGAATGTGCATGCCTCAAAGCGGGGCATTCTTTGGCCTGAGCTTTTCACTTCCGTCAAGAGTGCAAGCACATGAAGTATGTGGACTGAGGAGGTTACCCCCAACTTCGTTCCGCCAGTCACGGGAATTGCATCAAGTTCGATTCGCAATGAATGAAGTTCTGCGTGTTGCATCTGAGACTTGCATGTACAAGTAAGAAGATGTTGAAACTTTAGCGGGCCTCACCCGCTATCTAGCTCATTACATTCTTCAGCCATGAATGTGATCGGCGCGAAGGCAAGATGACAAAATGTTTAGGAAAGGGCATTGTCAACGGGGTCATCCAGGTGGCAAGCAGTGTCGGCTGCCTGTCGCTTTTCTCATCGCGCGCCAATGGTTTCCACAATGGCCCCACAGCGTGCTTGTCCCTCGCTGCCGAAAAAGCCAGGCAATGGGGGTGCGACCTGCGACAGATGTTTGCCTCGCTCGTTTCCTGCAGGATCATAATGGCAAACAGCGACTCGTCGATTCTGACCAAAGCTGCAACCGACCTTTTGCGTCTTGCGCCACACAAGCTGAGTGTAATGTCCAAGCCCCGCCCTGTTTGGTCGAAAGCTTCCAAACTGCGTGTTACGAATTTCATCATACCAACGAGCCACCACTTGCCCCGGCCACAGATTGTGACCCACTGCCACGTTCTCGCCAAACGTCGCTCCTTGTTTGCTCCGGCGCTCACTAGGCTTGCTATGGGCCAAACGTTCAGTCGGCGCCGTATGTGCGTAGGCGCGCGCGGTCTGAAATGCAGTAGAGTCCCATTCTAGCATGTCGATCCCTGCCATGCATCTGTAGATGTTGTGCGCTGTGAGGAAGTCTCTAGCTTGCTGCGGCTCTTCGTAGAGCTGGAAGGCTGGACAAACGCTCATCTTCTGCGATGCCGGAGACAGAAGTCCAGGCTCACTGGCCTCGAACAGCCAGGCACTCATTGCTGTTGGGTCAAGCGGTCCAGCATATCGAGCGCCAGTGGACAGGATCATCAGCACGGGAAACTTCCAAACTTTGTAGCCCTTGCAGAGTTGAGTGTTCAAGGCATTATGACAGTCCACAGCACCAACCTTGATGTGCCTCTTAAGAATGGCAGGGCCACCCACTGCACTTTCAAGCGCTGTGGCCAGTTCACGGCATCGTCGACAGTTGCCAGCATAGAAGTGAACCACCCAAAAGCTTTCTGTGGCTGCCGCCTTCACTGGAAAGTTGCCAGCACACAGAGCTACGATGAGATCCCCTATGTAGGGCCGGCTGCCGGCACAGGTTGTCTCAGAGGAATGGACGAGCGCGACAGCCACACACCACACAAGGCAAAGCACACGTTGCATGCGCTGCATCTGCGTCCAGAAACGACATGTCAACGAAGAAAATACTCCTAGAACTTTCGCATGCTGAAGCTGCTACAGTTCTGGGCCTCAACGTTGCGAAACTTAATCTATACCTTCCTTCCTGCTGTCATTCCACCTCTAGTCCTTGCTGTCAATCCATTGGGCAGCGCACCACTCAGAACAAGCCTGAGGGCAGATTGCAGGATCCGCGAGGGTCGCATATCACTGGCAGCAGGCTCAGCTTTCTGGGCTAGCGTCTTGCGAGGTCCCATCATCTTTGTGATTGCAGGCCCTCGAACACCCTTTAGACTATCTTAATCTCGGACCGTGGAGCCGTGAGCCAGTTTCAGCTCGTCTCCATGCGGGCAAGAAGAAAATCCTGGAAGCAACATCAAGCCTTCAGCAACTGCGTGTCCAAGGTCACTGACAACTGAGAAGTCGGCAAGTAGCACAGGCTTCAATCCAAGAAATCCTTGGTGGACATCTAACTCAGCTTGTACCCTCAACATGAAGAAAGGCCCTGAGGTCGCCGCCTCATGGTGCTCCAGCAGCTCTTAACAGGGCCTCGCTGGCCACAAACTACGCTTTGCCCTTGATCAACCTGGACCCTTTCCCTTTCCCTTCTGTTTACTGGCTCCTGAGCAGTGTCCTGCGGCTCGTCCACCGCTGTAGGCCTGAATGACGGGACAGGCAGGGTCATCAGCTTTCGACTCGTAGATCCTTTATAGACTCGAATGCAGGGACCGGTGCGCAGCTGGTCGGCGGCACAGGAAATAACCTGAAGATGGGGCGCATGCAGTTCAAGCAGCTCTTAGAGAGGCTTTTCAGCAGCTGGCCTGCCACAGGCAAGGCAATCAGCGTCAGCAAGCCAACTCCAAGCTCCATCGCCTGGCTTGGCAGTTAACAGGCGAGCCCAAGAACAGAGACTCTTCGCAGAAAGTCTCCGAATTGCCGCCGAGCAGCGAAGGGGATTCCGCGCTGTTCATTCTCGGCGGTGAGAACCCACACTGGAAGCTTTTTCTGGAAGGATCGATCTGGTCGAGTAGCCATGGACAGGCCGACTAAGCTCTAATATGCAGCATCTACTGCGCCTTCCCATGCAAAGATGCTGTTTGGCGCAACTTTGGGAACTGGGCGTCAGCGCAGTGTGTAAGTCTTGGAATGAGCACTGGGTTCTGTGACTTGTAGGCTAGGCCTGTGTAGGTCATTGTGGACGTGGAGACCTCATGCCGCAACAAGCAAATGCAGTCACAATCACAACGTGCTCTGCTTGTCTGGAAGACAGCATCTTGTCCTGTACGAGTATCCTCTCACAGCAACAGAGGCTGCTGAAGAGCTGAGGCTTTAGCAGTGGAAGTTGTGAATGTGACGGAGGTAGAGGTCGATGAAGTACTGGCAGCGAAGGAAGCAAGCAAGCAAGCAAGCAAGCAAGCAAGCGCCCTACTGTGCAGAACCCGTTTCCGTGTATACCCAGCACTGGGTCTGATGCGGATGAAGGGACTCTATGGTTTGATGCGAGATCCTTCTTAGATGCCCGTGCAGCTGATTGATTCCAAGTAGGCTGGTGCCAGGCAGGCGCCACACGACAACGCGCATGTACAACGCTCCTGTGCTTCTGTAGGCCTGAAGGATGGCATCTGCAAATAACATCACTTCAGCACATCTCGGCATCCTTTCTCGCCGAAACTCTACTCTCTATCTGCAAAAGCTCGTCGCTTGGCTGAGGTTGCAGGTTTGAAAATGCCGAATGCAGAAAGCGACTGCATCCAGAATCATAGTATAATTGTATGACTGCTCACTGTGAAGTCTACAGCTTGATTTCTGGCGCCTTAGCCCTGTCAACACCTCTTTGCGGGTCGAGTAATAAAGCATCACTTCCCTGTACGCCCTGGGTCCTGGTCTTCGTTGTGGTGAGAGTGGTGGTTGGCCTAGGGGGACAGTGCGTACCACGGCAGACTTTGAGCTTCGAACAGCTGTTGAGCTCCTGGCGGAGGCTCAATGTAATAGTAGCCCGACTGTTTGAGACACAGCGCATGGTAGCCAAGGTCCCTGAAGATCTCGTGGTCATGGGCTCAATGTAAGGTGTAAGCCAAGTCTGAGTGCGTTGGCATGTAGGGACTGAAGCTTCCATGCAATGTGTCACAAGGGCGAGGCAGAGCCTTCCAGAAATCTCCCGAAACGCGCTGTGATTGCAGGCCAGTTGCAGCTGCAAGGCCTTGTGGTCTGACAGGACCAGAGAAGATCGCAGACTTCCAATGCCTAGAGTACCTGGGTTCACAAGAGCATGCCAAATCTTCAAGCTGCGTTCACGAGTGCGCACTGGTGCAGGAAGCCAGCCACCGATTTTCAGGTTGGTTCTCCCACTGTGCTGTGCTTGTGCAGGTGTGAATGCCTCAGAGTTGCAGCCAGAGTCATAATGAGGGCAGCGCGACAATTGAACGGGGCCTGGCCTGCAGCCATTGCCGAAGCCGCCTTTGTGCTCAGGGCCTCCACCGGGCCCAGCAGTTCCTTAGTTTAGGTCAAGGAGTCCTTTCTCTGCGGCTGTCACCGGAGCTGAGAGCTCAACCCCACCAAAGTTGTGAACGATTTGTGAGCCACAGTCCGAAGGTTGGCACAGGGAGTTCAAAGCCTGGGCGTGAGGATAATTCATCCAGACAGCGCCATGTTGACAAACCTATTTACAACCCCACACATGTCACAGCTCAGTCTGGAACGCTCCGAAGGCGTTCAGGAATTACAACGACGCTGACATCCAGCTTCAGGACCCAATCAAAGGAGCCTGGCTGCATGGAACTCTCACGAGTAAAGCTGTGCAAGGTGAATGATAACGAATTCTTGAGCAGCCATTTCCCTACGAAGACAGCCCATGGAAAGCCCTGTTATCCACATTGCCAGCCTGGTCAAGATTGACAGCTGGGGGTTGATTCTGATTCATTGATGCTTGCACAAGGTACTGCCAAGGCCCATGCCTAGAGGATTGGAATTTGAACCACACATCAACAAAGCTCTCAGGAAGACCCTTGGCATGCTCTCCTGCATGCCTGATTTTTTAGAATCTGCTGGCCAACAACAGCCAGTGAGACGGAATGTACCCTCTCTGAAGACGGCTTGCCATGCCTTCGCGTAAACCTGCAGGTCCAGCAGGGGGCGCTACAACGCAGACATTCAAGAATACTATCTATCTACACTCGATCTAAGGTCACTGCTCCTGCATCAGCCGGCTCGCTGATCACTTTTCCTGGCCGGCACAAAAAAAAAACACGCTCACGATACACTATGCCATACAAATACTGCAGCCCAGCAGACCATGCGCGGTGTGGAAAGTCCTGGTTGCCAGGCTCACATATCTTTAACAGTCGGCATCCCTGAACAAGGAGGCATGCCACACAGGTCCTCCCGCCCGCAGTGTCACCCTGGATGACGCTGATGTCCCTGACTCAAGCAGCTGCTTGAAGCATTGAAACATACCTGACAATGCAAACCTTCCTGGTTGTTAAGTCTGCGACGTGTGCCAAGCCTCAGCTGGCAAAACCTCCAGGCCAGCAGGTGCAGTGTCAGGCCTGCCACTGGCTTCCTGCCGGGCCTCTCTGGCGGATGCGTTGCTTATGACCATCCAGCCATCACACGCGAAAATGCCCAGATCTGACATTCAGAACGCTTCACACCGCTGCGTGCCAGCATGAATCTGTGCCTCGCTCGCGCTGCCATTTGAGCATCTTTGGCTCCTTCTTACTCGGTCGAATGCCCAAGCGGCCCAAGCGCTCATGGCAATGGCATCATATCTCACTTATCTCACTTCTAACTTGCACCTCGCCCTTGTGCTGCACGAGCACCTGGACGCGGCAGCTTTCACAGCACTACTGGCTCTCTCCATCTCTCCGATCCACAGAATCAGAGCTGGCTGGTGATTTCTGGCCGAGGCACCCAACAAAACATAGTCGGCCTGACGAAATAACCTGCGATTGAGCTCAGACAGCAAAAGCGCGCAGCTTAATCTCACTTGCAGGAAGCCAAGCTGGGCCTGTCTGCAGCACGTCTCGCGTCCATGAGATCTGCCGTGAAGCAGCGTGCATTCGTTAGTCAAGCATGCTGTTCAAGGCCGCGCATTTTTAACAGTGTGAAACCAACAACAAAGTGCAGCAGCTTATCCTGCGCTGGATTTGACGGCGCATCCGGTTGGGCAGAGTAGCCCGCCTGGCAACCGAGAGTGAGCAAAAACTAGCGAAGTCAGGCCCTCTGAAACACTGTCCGCCTGACCCATGCAGTTCATGTAGTCAGCCCAGGCCAGAAACGGAAAGAAGGAACCTTGACCTGGAAGCGAGACAACGGGGATCAGCGCAGCATGGTAGCTTGCTGATCAAGTTCAGCAGCAGTCTGTCACTGTCATGTGCGCAGATGATGGCGCTACGAAGCTTATTTTGCATCGTGCAGGCAGAGGAGTAGCAGTATGTCAAGCCCACAGTTGCACGCTCATGCAAGGTGTGCTGAAGCCCGCGAAAAAACATTGGATCTGCTTAAGCCAGATACCCTGATCGACCTCTCACGGGCCACATGTTGAAGAGACACTCCCAGGTCAATGTCAAGATCACGAGGAAATCAGGTTTTGGCTAAAATTATACGGTGAGTGCCCTGTGAAGCCTGGAGTTCACAGTGGTCTGCAAGCAAGGATGAACACAAAATGTCACCATGTCAGATGTCTTATCCGAAAGACAGCAAGCACGCACCTGGAACTGCTTTCAATCTCATGGATGACTGACGCTATTTTTACCCCAAGCGAGGGACGTAGGATATCATGTCCATACGAAGAAATTGGACCTTCAGATATATCTAAAAAAACAAATTAGATTGAAACCAGCCTATTCGGCATCTGTGACTGCCTGAACCGCGATGCACTACAAACCCGAGAACTAGTGTGTTGCTGACCGTGGGAAATTCTGAGCGGCAGAACTCAATGTGCAAAGCCGCATCGAATTCGAGGCGCTGAAGTCTTTGATGAGGTTCTGCTCCTCCAAACAATTGCCTAGGACATCCTAACTTTTGAAGGCGAGTTCCGAGAAGAAAAGTCCTTGACAAGCTGGACCCCACCCTGCTGTAGGGTTTGCTGAAGGCACTTGACCTGCGTGAATCTAGCAGAGCCGGTACATTGAACAGAGCTGTTCAGCGTCATACAATCAACATGCACCAAGTCGGCGACCTCCGCCACATCCTGGAGTAGGCGTTGGTTCTAGAGCATCCAGACTTGTCCGAAACACATAGAGAAGCCTTGCTGCAAGAGGCGAGCTGGTTCTTTGCCAGCTTATCAACAGCGGCTTTCGTCAACGCCTGCGCAGCGCCTGCACAACGTGCGAGTCGGCTCTGGCTTGCATCCATACGTGCTGAGCAACCTACACTAGGTGACGCGGCACCTGGGATCACCGCCCCATTTTGCAGCACCATAGGGCCACAATCTGGCACGGCCCTCCACTACTCTCCTCTTTGGCACACAGTTTGCATCTTTAAGCGAGATAGCCACGCCAGCTGCAGAACAGTGAAGAGATCTCGGCGTGTACGCGGTTGCATTGCAACTGTTGCTATGCCAGTTTCAAAGCTGTGCCCCATGCAGAATGTCCCGCAAGCGATCTGGATGAAAGGCAGTTGCCGTGTCCTGCTGTCACAGAGCCAACCACAAACCATCGAGATTGTCCTAATGTTATTGAATAGTGTATGATATTGTATTATAGGAAATCAAATTATAGTATAATATTGTATATTAGAGTATATTATATTATATCAAAGCCAATCGGTCCATCTTCAGGGTCCAGTCGAACCTTTTGTAGCGACCATTCTGGGTAACTTGCTGCCAAGCCTGGATCACCAAGCCATTGCGTGCATACAGAGCAACCAGGTCTCCGGGAAAGCATGCCTCACGGACTGCCGGCAAGCCGAGCCTGGTCAGGACTGCCCACTTGCGATCGCAGCCGTGACACAAACTGGGCAATATGCTGAGCAGGCAGCCCCTCTGGCGAATAAGATAGCACCTGCACTCTAGGACCATTTGTAGGCCACCTGCAAATGCGTCGCACCACTGCATGTTCCCTGCATGCGGCAATGCGGCAGCTGGAAGAAGCCAAGCCCTCAGCGTAGGGTTCGTTCTGATGCTATCCTTAAACAGCTCCTCCGAGAAGAAAGGCCACACCAGAAGCTCTTAGTTTTGCACTATGAGTTTATGAACTTCTTTCCAGCGGCCTCCGCTGGTAGACTGCTGAAAAGCATGTGGTCGTCACATCCAAAGACTCCAATTCCTTGGCTTCAAGGTCAAACAATCGGGGGCCGGCAGTGCTTTGAGCTCCCCACCCTCTATGAACTGGCTTGAGAGGAGATCCACCTCATCGCACTTTTGATCTCTTCAATGCTGACCACTGGGCAGAGAGAAGGGCCTGCTCTGGGCCGACGATGCTGAAACAGAACAACGATGGACCTGCAATTTGCGTTTGCCTTTGAGTTTGGAACACAGCTTAAGTTGGCAGTCGTACCGAAGAGCATGGCTGTTCCCAATGGAAGGGCCTCAGCAAAACTGATTCTGAAATCTTGCGAAGTCTATCTGTGGACAGGCCCGGGCGGCTACCAGGAGCAGGTGCCGCATGGCAGTCTGAAGCTGTCACTACATGTGTTGGATTTCCGGCACGATAGCCGTTCCTTGCGTCTGTTGTCAGACTTGTGCGTCTGCTTTTTGTTTTGCCAGTCACTGGTGGCTAGCTATTGAGCTTTAATGCTTCATTGCGTGTCTCTCAGCTTGAACCCGGCCAGCACAGCTTGTTTACCCTGGTCACACCATGTCAAGTCAAGCCAACCAAAGCTGCAGGTGTTACCAAAACAAGGCTTCTTTCGGTCATGGGCGCTTACCCTCAAGCAATGGTGTGCATTATGCAATTATGCCGTACAAAGAGATAGATCGAAGGCCTGACTGCCGGAGCTACAGAACCTTTTTTGTCTGAGAGTTTAACAACCTCCTCCGGCTTCTAACAGGCGGTTCGATACACCCACAGAGTCTGCTTAGTCCTGCGTCCTGCCGCCTGCATCCAGTCTGACTCGCAGGCATTCAAACCCTCACGCGCATTGGCTAGAACGCCTGTAATTGTGTCTGAATCACAAAGATACAGGGTCAGGACAAGCGCAAACATTTGAACTGCTCAGAGGATAATATGGCAACTCTCTCTCAGAGAAATTATCCCCAGGCAGGAGAGCCATTAACACGACTAACGATAGCTGGTAAATCGCGGCTTCATTTTGGGCCTGCGAGTTTTTTTTCGCATATCAAGGATAGAACTAAGAATAAATCAACTGGGGGCTCAGCAAGAACCAAGAAATGCCACTCCTCGTTACGGCAGCGAGACGTGCTGAGAGCCCATGGAAAAGTCGCTCTCAGCTCACACGCTGCACAACGTTGCCCATACCGAAGCCAACCTGAAACACAGCCAATCTGGAGGTGGACTTTTCCCGAACACAGACGTGAAGCAAGTGGGCTGATTAGGCCTCCCTTTCCGACCTGCACTTGATGACTCCGCCCGATGTGTTCGTCAAGCTACATGGGCCACATGGGGCGGGCTTTTAATTTGGAGTTGGCTTTGGGTGGAGTTCTATTTTGGATTTTTTGGAGGGTACCTTTTTTGGAGCGGGCTGGGGGTCTGGAATCGAAGGACGTCTCACGCGAGAGCGCGATTCTGAAGCAAAAATTGTAAAGAATGATGAAAAACAATGCAAAATATGAAAAAAAAAACATGAAAATGATTAAACAAATCATGAAAATTATAGGTAGAATATGATGCAACAACATGAAAAATTATGAAAATGATGAAACATGACAAAAAAATCATGAAAAATCTTGAAAATATGAAAAGTATCAAAAAATCTGAAAATCCTGAAAAATCATGACGATTATGAAAAATCCTGAAAATTGATGAAATTGATGAAACATGATGACGCATGATGGAAAATCATGAAAATCATGAAAATCATGAAAAGCGGCGAAATTGTTGAAAAAATGATTGAGAATGATGAAACTCATGAAAAATAATGACAAATATGAAACATCATGAGAAACGACGAAAATTACAAAGCATCATGAAAACATGCTGAAATTGTTGAAAACGTATGAAAATTTATGAGAATTAAAAAAATGAAAATGATAAAAAAAATGATGCAAAATCATGAAAATGATAAAAAATGATGAAACTTATGTGAGAATGATGAAAAATCATGAAGCATTGCGAAAATGTTGGAAAATGTGACAAATAATGAAACATCATGAAACATGATGAGAAATCATGAAAATGATGAACATCATTGGAAATCATGAAAATCAAGAAAAATCATGAAAATCATGACAAATCATGACAAATCATGAGAAATCATGACAAATCATGAGAAATCATGAGAAATCATGAAAAATATGAAAATGATAGAAGATGATCACAATAGTGGACATTCTGAAAATCAAGAGTTATGAAAAATGATGTTGAAGATGATGTTGAAAATAGATGAATTGGCGAAAGCCATCAAGATGATGAGAACGTGAAGCATTGATATCAATACAAAATGGCGGGGTGGCCTACTTGCAGCAAAGCTCTCCCTTACTGATGACATGATGAGTTTTTGTTACAGCAAGCTTGGATGGCCTCACAAGAGTAATGCAATGATTTAAAACGATGACAGGCAAGCATAGATGATTTTAACAAAGGCAGGGGGGGGGGCCGGGGCAGCAGGGGGGGGGGGGGGGGGGGG